GTGTCCGCTCCCAGGGTTCGCGCCGCGGGCGCAAAGTTTAGGGTCAACCATAAACGCAAGGCCAACTTGAGCCTAGCGTAAGGGGCGGCGGCGTAGAGGGACGCTAAGAATCGCGCATCGAAGTTTGGTTGAAGCACAAGAGGGGTAAATAAGGGGGTTTCCAGACAAAGAGACTCTCAAGGTAACGGGTCTTCGGTCCGTCCCTCCTCCTTAAAGGGCCAGACTCCCTAGCTTAGCCCATCGCCGTTCCCTTCTCCCTCGCCCCTCAGCCTTGAGACAGTGAAGGAATACTTCATTAGTTCCCCGCACTCTTTTTGGAGCTCCTTTAACATCTCTCACCACCGCCACGGGGGAAAGCCGTTCTCACTACCCCGTCTATGCTTTTGTTTTGTTTTGTTAAGACTCAAGTTTTAACCGGGTGGTTTGTTGCGAAGCAGCAGCCTCCGAGCCGTGCGCCTTTGCCAAAAGTTACTGCTGGCTTCCAGACGGGAGAGCACGTATCTGACTTTTGTCGCTGACGATCGAGGCGGGATTCAGCTGTTTTATGGAAATCCCCTCGAGAAAGTTTCACTCCGTTAACTGAGGACGGTCGTTCTGCAGGTGGAGGGGATGGAGACCACAGGGAAGCGGACGAGCCTCCTGTCTCGGAGAAGGTTCCTTCCCGGGCAGCCTCGGGTGCATGGTCCTGACCTAACTCGTGCGCGGTGACAGTACCCCAAGTAAGCCGACACTATTACATCACCCAGCACATGACTAACGCAGGTAAAGGCTTACATTTAAACATAAGGACATATGCGTTATCAGCTACACTGGCACAAGGCTACCCACTTGGAAATATGAAATGGAGACGCACAAAGGCCAAAGAACAATAAAGTAAGAAGGGGGAAACAGCACTGCGTGTCTGAGCATGAAACTACAATGCCTGGAGCCGAGCGCAATTATATGTGAAAACATTTCCAAAGGCAATTAATTTGGACATTTTAAAGAGATTTGATGGAAGGAAAGGACCTGGTGATTGATTGATTTGGTGAGGATTTTGTCATGTGGCTCGAGTTCGAAGTTACATATAAAACTCAGCATTCCTTTTGTTGTCTATCACCTTTAACGTTATTCTTTTAAAGAAATTCTTATCTTACATTATAACTCCTTACTTATTTTCTGCCTTTGGTCCCCAAACCGCCCAAGAAAATTCTTGGAGAATACAGATTGTATCTTATTCAATGTTAATTCCCTAACAAAGAGCCTGGCACATAATAGGTGCTTTTGTTGAGTGAAGGATTTGGAAGAGCCTTAAGACTTCTGAAGGAAGCGTGCTCTCAGAATAGCAATCCAGCAGGGAAAGATTCTCAGTGCTGTGAGCATGTATGATTAGATCGGTGTTTCTCAAAGTGTGGCCTGTGGAGCCCGTGGGATCCCTGAGACCCTTCTGGGGGTGGGGGTGGTCTAAGTTCAAAACTATATTTTCATAATAATA